ACCGGTGCTAGCAGAGACTCTAGTCTTGGCACTATCCTCAGTTGCCCTCGCTCTCCTTGCCGCTGCTCTCTCTCTAGCCTCTCTCCTCAATCGTCTCTCGTCTCCTGGACCTAACTCCAAGAATGTCAAGGGTCGACTACGGGCAATTCCACGAGTAGTCCTACGGTCGTCCACTAGCAACTCCTCCTCACTAGTGCCTGCATCACTCATGAACTACAGTGTGTGTGATCTAAACTGGAATCCACACTGAATCCTACCTTAGCCTGACACACAACCGATTATGAACCACAACTAATTTCGGTCGGCTGGAACAAAAACAGTTAGGTGATATAGTAACAACTAATGTCAGGTCCTACAGGATATATTAAATCTATTTTTAGATTACCCTGGAACAGATTGCAATATAGCAAAGATCTAGTCTATTTGTAGCTGTTTGTCAGTTGTTAGTCAAGTCTGTAACAACTAGATAATCAAAAATAAAAATAACATCTCCTATTGGAGATGTATGCTTGATGGCAAATTGTCTGTTGACTGCCACTGCGAACAGTTACCGGAATCCCCCCTCCCCCTGTATCCTTCTTGAGTGTCACTTTGTGTCAACATTCCTAAGCATCTTGTTGAGCAACGTGTCTGAAGGTGTGCAATCCGGCCCACCCCTGTGCCCCAAGTCTAAACGCCGAACATGCCAGCCCCTGCACTTTTGTTTACCCTCGCATGCAACGAGCCTTACACCCGGTTGATCTGGCTGATCAGGAGGAATTTAAGGAGAGCCCCCATCTCCGCAGGAATTATTTAACGTCGCAGACAAGACGACGATCACAGCCAGATTCAATTCCGAGTCCCCAACCAGAAATGTTTAAAGATGGTCTGGTAAGCGTCTGTCAAAGGGCTGACATGCCCTGCATGACCTCTATTGCGCAAGCAGTAGAACCAAGGACTTGCGGCAAAGCATGCGTGTACTAGTCCCAGCGGGTTGGCATGGTGACCGTGACCCGAGTGCTTCGTCCAGGGCCCTTCAGAGGCTTCGCCCGTCTCCCACCAGCTTGCTGCCCGTGAAGAACGTCAACTCTCAAAGGTTGGGCAACACCTCACATCGAGAGGACTCTCAAGACAGAACTCACTTCCTCACGGTAAGAAGAGATGAAGAGGGTAGATAAGGAAGAGAGAGCAACGTACCTCATAAATGCTGCCCCCAACCACAGATTTCTCACCGGCAACCTGATGTGTAATTATGATGACCGGTCTTTGCCTCAGCACAACCAACAGCAGAATGCGGTTCCACCTTGGCTTAATATGCCACATCAGCGAGCTCTCATCATCCAGCATACATCCCGTATGTCACCACATATCTCCCTGGCGCACCCACTCTACCCTGGGGTCTGGTCCCACCTACGGTTGTTGAGTTTAGAAAACTCAACGGTGTGACGCCCTGTCGACATTAATAAATTCGAAACAACAAATAAAAAAACTGAAAAAAACGCTAGAAACAGCTTTTCTCCTTATTTTTTATAACATAACTGGGAGAAATGAAACATGTCGGAGTGAACATCTCCGTGAAAAAAGGATACTCCCCGTGGTGAGGGGACAGGAGGTCACCATTTG